CCCCAAAACCCCAAAACCCCAAAACCCCTATAAAATATGCAAAATTGAGTAATTAGAAATAATAATTCAATTATGACCGACTGGTTTACAAATACTGACCCCATGAATCTTGTCATCGAGGGACTATATCTTGGAAATTACCTAGCAGCAAGTGATAAAAAGTTACTTCAGAAACACGGAATTACTCATATTTTAAGAGTTGTTCGTGAAGATGTGGGAGACGTCTTTCCCTCTGATTTCACTTATAAATTCTTAGAATTAAGAGACATCCCGGAACAAGATATAAAGGAGCATTTTAAAGAAGCTCATGATTTCATTGACTCTGCCCTAAGAGGATCAAAAGACTTAATGTTTCAGAACAAAGTACTGGTGCATTGTCATGCAGGTGTAAGCAGAAGTGCTACTATAGTAATTAGCTATTTAATGAAGCGCTACATAAACTTTTCATTTAAGGAAGCTTTCAAATTTGTTAAATCAAAGAGGTCAATAATTCATCCAAATTCTGGCTTTGTCAAACAACTCAAAGAGTACGAGAAACAATTAAAAATGAAACTGCTACACTCAGACTCCCTATCATCATTTACTAGCAGAGTCTCTCAAAACAACTCTTCAAAAGATTCAGTTGACTTGCTTAGTTCGAAGATGAATAAACTTCAAACTGAGAAAGTTGTGAGAACTCCTCGGCTTGAGAAGATCAGGTATGGTCCTCCAGCCAAGAAGATGAGCAATCCCTTACCTATTAGTACTCCTTTTATTAATATGGAGAAGGAAAAACTTGCTTCGACATTGAGCCAACAGAACCTATTTCCACCAGTTCCTGTTATTTCAAAAGGAGTTGTACGCACTCCAACAATTCTTAGCAAGAGCGGGCTTGACATAGTGGCAAGGCCAAAGATGGTCCAGAGAATGAGCCACTCAAATCCAATTCAGATTCATCCAAGCGTGTATTATACTCAGAACTACAGGAAATCTCACTTTGCTAAGTAAGTTGCTGGTCTTTCGAGCATTCAGTATCAGTTTCATATCACCGCATTCTAACTGTATTTAGGGAAAAGAATTCTAAGGACCCATTTAGCAGCGATTACAGGTCGGAAAAGGTAAGCTGACTCTCTACTAGTTTCTTCAAATAACTAACCTCCTTGTGCACTCCTTTCAGGCAGGATCAAGGATGATCAAGTTATGGCTATATTCTAAATTTACTAATAAGACAGTTGAACATGAATGATTTCATAACTACAAAATTAATCGTTTTTATAGAAATACATGACACCTCAAAGAACGTCTCTTAAGGCTGCAGGGCTTGGTGGATTCCCAGATAAAAGTTCCTATAGATACGCACCTCCAGCAGATATCCAAACTCCTTCATGGAAGGCACCTGGGTTATTAAGGATTCCTAAGAGAACTAGCTCTGTAGCTAATTCTCAAACATTCTTAACCAAGTCTTTATCAACAAGGAGTTTACCCAAAATGGAGAAGAAGCGAGTAACTTTCGATGTCTAACTGGTTCAGATTACCTTTTCTTCTAATAATTCTTAATATTTTCTTGGGCAGACTCTGATTTCAGGCTAAAATTTCATATTGGTAATTATATTCTTTATTGATAACTTTCAACACGAGTAAACCGTGTTGGGGTTTTGGGGTTTTGGGGTTTTGGGGTTTTGGGG